GGAAGAGTAGTGTGCAGGTGCATGTATATGTGTGTGTGTGTGAGAGTGGTGAAGGGAAAGAGAGAGCCAGCTGTTGCTCAGCACCTAGTGGCCCACGGCTGGGTGAGCAAGGATAATTGCAGGTACCAGCCTGTTCCTGTCTCCTTAATGTGAACCAGTGGCATAATGGAAACTGCTCTTTCACAGTGAAGGGGAAATAGAAAAGAGAGAGGAGGAAATGAACACATCGGAGTAGTTTAGAAAGAAGATCCAGTGAACTGGGTTGACTCTGATTTGCTGTTGAAATTCACAATAAAGTAATGCGATTTTGATACAATATTTGGTACTGACATCACTTTGATGTACAAATGTGTTTTTGGGGTTACACTGTAAAAGGGAAGCTAGAATTGTTTCCGCCTTAATGTCAAATTGTACTATCATTTGTTAAAACGAATTTAAATTCTTGTTAAATGTTGGGCACACTAAAATGTACTTGTTTAAAAAATGCAGGTAAATCAGCTTCACTGACCACTTTTGTCGTTGTCATCTTGTTACAGCAGGGTCTCCTACCATGTTTTCTTCTCCTTGCACTAGCTGACAGGTGGAAACACATGTCAGTATAATGAAATTCATGACGGCATCACCACACAGATTAGTAAACCAACTCCTCAAAACACAAGAAAGTGAATGTTGTTGATTTAAGCAAGTCCAAAGATTTGCATTGCAATTTCACTGTACGTGGGTCAGTAGAAGACATGATCTCAGTGCCCTTAAAGGTAGCTATGGCCCTAGCTGGGTCTGTTCACAGAGTGCGTACCTTTAACACAACTAAGTTCTATTGCATTTGTATAATGCATTCCTTTAAATTTCATAACAATTTATTTTGTGAGTGACTTTTCAAACTTGAGAAAGTTAATTAAATCAAAAAATCCTTACAGAGTCATAAGCATTGATTTCTGTGGAGCTGTTCTGTCCTGTAATGGTTTAAATAAATGCTTTTTTAGAGGCCTTTTCCCTCTGCCAAGAATAAAACCCACAAGGGAGAACTACTCCAACTTGGCTCAAAAAATAGTCACATTTAAAAATGTTGGGAAGAAATACTGGCACTAAATATTAGTTCTGTAGTGGAGGTAAAACACTTGCCCAACACTGCAAAAACCTTAGTTAAATTCTTGGCAGCAGCGCCTCTTCCTTGGCCAACACAATCATAGAGAATTTGAATGGCAAGCCAGTGAGGAATCATGTCCTGGTCCAGCTCACGTGTTGGTCAGCATCCTCAACTACAACTTAATTGGGAAAAAAATATTACATCTTATAAACAGCCATCATGCAAAAAAGTTAAACATACACATTGTGCAGGTTTAGTGGTTACTAGGTCTCTTCGTCATCATGAAGATGAGTCAGTAAACAGTTCAAATCTGCAGGAAATGTGGATATTGGAAATGAATCCCAGGCTCCCATTACAGGCCTGTAGTGCCTATAAGCAAGGCACTAATTACATAAGAAGATAAATATACAACCTGTCCTCGCCTGAAAAATGGCCATAGGGCCTAAAGTTCCATCATTATTATATAGGTTATTACGACCTATATTTAGGTTTTACGTTAGGCCACGACCTCTAGTAGCAGAATTCACTTGACGAAGTATAAAGAGCAACATAGTCCTTATGGAAGAGTGAAGTAAATTTGGGACTTTCACTCAGGAGAACAAGGTGCCAGTCCTCTCTGAAATTTGGCATGTTTTAAGTTAAATAATGTTTTGTATATCACGTGACTTAGGTAATATGCCTATTGGGTAGTGGGTGGTGATAGAGCAGTGGATAAGACACATGCCTTTGGTGCGAGAAACCCTGGTTCAGTCCACTGTGAGACAACATTGTGTCTCTGAACAAGACGCTCCAGAGGCGTGCGACCTCTGATATATATAGCAATTGTAAGTCGCTTTGGATAAAAGTGTCGGCTAAATAAATAAATTTAAATTTATTTTAACCCAAGCCACAATCTTCTCCTAAACCTAACCAACTGTTTTTTTTTTTTTTGCCTAAACCTAACTACAAACTACTACTGTTCCACAACATTTACGCCGTGTTAAATGTCATGTGACTTTTAACGTAGTTAAGGTCCGCCATGCTGTACTGGTACTTGCCAACGCTTGTACATGTCGTTGAGGTCATATATGTTGTACTTTCCAACTGACATATATGTTGTTTCGGGACACTTGACAACCAACCTGTTTTGTTGTTCAGGTTTGAGTACGTGCTGAAATATAACACAGTGTAATGCTTGGTTCAAAATAGATTTACTTAGTGTTAATTACATTTGTACTTAATAGTGTTCATTACAATAACTGTGGAACATGCCTTGGTGTAAAATTAGAAAAATTAGTAATATTAGAACTTGTAATATAATAATGTAAACATATTGCATACAATATTGAACCTTAAGTTAAAACATTGCCATTAAATTAGCTTTTGTTTATTGAATGTTCAACACATTTAGAGGAAAGGTCTTTACATCTTTATGACATTTTAATGATTTTACTAGTTGCTACAATAGTTCTGCATCCTCTATCCCCTATCCATGCAAAATGTTTGTGTATCAGCAATTTTAAGCATGAAGGTCCTGGACTGTGAAGCTGTAGATCATCATGGGGTTTGTGACTTTGTTATTATGACCTTCCATGATGTAATGAGCTTGGCTGGAGGATGCTTGTTCTTCCATACCAAAAGAAGTCATGTGATGTGATCTAATAACACCATCAAAACAGTGTGTTCGTCTCTTTTATTTGTGTGTTTGTGTGTAGCTTTTTATTTTTGACTGATGCCTTATCAAGATTATACTGAAGTGTTTTTTTCCTCCATGATCAATGGTTTCTTTTTCGGAAGCAAGAGCCAGACAATCAGCGGACACATCTTAACATCGTGTTCACCTAAGGCTTCCCTGCTAATTACCTAAGACACTGATTTGCACCCCAACATACCTCTGCAATGTGTGAGGAAGAGGAGGAGAGAAAAGAGAGCAAACAAAGTTGTTAACAGGAGCTTGACACCAGAAAATGATTGTTATTGGATTGAACTAATTGGCATTTTGATGCAAACCCAGGTCTGAACAATACGCATCTGCCGTTAACAGTCTCTCATAAGCAAGTACGCACAAAAAGCAGTGATTCAGTTCAAGGTGAACTAAAAAACTGAAGGGTCCTGAAACAGATTAAATTTAAACTGATGCCTCTATCAGATGTCTGGCGACCGTCTGCCATGATCTTCTCCTTTCTGTGATGAAGGGGAGCGAATACATTTCGCACTCGGAGAATGAAAAATCGATGACCCTGAGATGGTTCTATGTGAAATGAGATATGAGCCTCGTCTTGGAGGATTCGGCAGAGTGAAGATTGACAGCTGAATGACATGGGTTAACTGCCAGGGAAGGCTGACCATGGCTTGGAGGTGTTAAACTGACCCTCTCGGACTGTCACTCCAAATACCGTGGAACATTAAATATTAAATATTACACGTTGAGGGCAGGGTTCATATCCCTGTAATTGACTGTTCTCTAAGCACCAGAACCCTACTTACTGTTGCTACGCCCGTCAAGCTCTCCCGTCTTGTATGGCACATATGCAGTGTACATTGATAACGGCACATTTACCACTCAAAATTTGTAGTATTTGTTTAATTCAGTCAGCGGCAAACAAAAGAGATCAGGTTGCTCAAATGACAACTGACGCTGGTGTATTTCATCAACTGCAGCTAGCTAGATAAAAGCTAATGGCTGAAAACAATGTCTCCTGCTGACTTCTTAATGTTTCCAGATGACTCGTTTTAAAACTAGAATCTTATGAAAGAGTTGATGGCCACATACATGATTAACATACTCATGATAGCTACTGAGGCTAAAGCTACATGTCCCTGGCAAAAAGTCAGCATCCTTAGCAGTTCATGATCCATGTAGAAGAAATGTAAATAAAGAAATAGTATTGTTCTTGTTTTGCAGCGAAGAGCTATTAGCAACTTAGTAGTAAATATGATAAGAACAAAATGTATCAGACTTTCTGACTTTCTTGGCTGGTTAGCTTATTTGTTCATATTTTTAAACAGTTTGTTTTCACTTTTACAAGAGAACAGCCTTTTAGGATGAGGAATAACTGATGTGTTTGGCAAACATATTTCGGGTAACACTGGGTAAGGTTGCTTGAGTGTAAATCTCCCCAAATCCAAAAAAAATGCAGCTCAGAGCAGTTAACGTACTGTTAGCCTAAACTCCTAAACTCAGCATGCGGGACCAGGTCAAACACAGTAGTGAAATACTACACAGTGGATGTGCTAGTTGTGAATGGGAATTAATATTTTTTACATAACCTGTAACAAACCAATGATGTGCCCTTGGCCTACGAAGAAACACTCAGCTACTGCTGTAGGTAGTTAGCTAGCGAAACATGCTAACGATTGAAGTTTACGCTTGAGTAAATAAACATAGTTTAATCCAATCCTCACACTCTTGTTTTTGGTTTTGGAAAGGCTAGGTTAAAATACACCTCGCCCCCAACTCTAACAAAAAGATTCCATTATATATATTTTTATTACCCTGTTTTTATATATGCAACACCAATCAATATGACGCAATTCACAGTGATTTAGTTATATAGTTACTTAGTTATGGCACACCTATGAATACTTGTATTGTGAAGTAACATAATGCGTCATCTTTGTTGGTGATTTTCTGAGAACTCATATAATTTCTATGTTTTCCTGTTTCTCCTTTATCATTTGAAGGCCAGTCGGTTTCCTCTCTTATCATTTTACAGGCTGTAAGAAGCACAAGATTGCCACTAACACCAAATATTTCTCTCTGTTGTTCTTTTTTTCCTAGTATATGGGTAATAATCAAGCCTTTAAGGAGACTTTAAAGAGGACAATTGTAAATCCTCCTCCCAGGCTTCTAGGTGTGTAAGGAGTGCTAGTCTGAACAGCCTTTAAAAGGATGCAATTCCTCCACATCTGTACTGACTGTCCTGTATGTCTGAAGATGGGCTGGAGACACACAGACTGCCTCGCAATGCCTATGTCAGGCCTTTTTAAAACATTTGGATCGCTTGTAGGCTCTTGTCCTTTTTATTTTTTTGTCATTCCTCTTATTGTCTCGGCAGCACTCGGTGGAGGCTTCACCTTTCTCAAAGACAGGGAGGACAACGACTTTGAGCGGCAATTCACACCCAGGAAAGGACCCTCGAAGGCAACAAGGGCATTTGTCAAGGAAAACTTCCCCTACAATGACTCGATGTTTTCAGAAGACAGGTTGTATGACAAGGGCAAGTCTGCATTCCTCATTGCTGTATCAACTGACAACTTAAATATACTAGCAAATCCTGCTTTTGAGGACATCATCAGACTCAACCATAAGATCATTACCACTGTGCACAACGGGACACTTGGATTTAATGAGTTGTGTGCAAAAGCTAATGGGAAATGTGTCTCAAACACCATCCTGGAAATCATTAGCTCTAATGAAACTGATCAAACCAGCATTAACTTCCCAGTGTATACACACAGATCCAGCTCGGTGTTCCTGGGATCTGTGCTAGGAGGGGTTATCACAGATGCCAACAGCTCCGTCATAAGTGCTCAGGCTGTAAAACTCTTCTACTACTTAGATAGCAAGGAAAGCACAGCTGACGCCTCAAATTTATGGCTGAGAGGATTTAAAGAACTCTTATCAGATGAGACGGACAGCAAACACATTGATGTATGTATCACAATGCTATGACAATGTTAATTTACAAGGGTTATAAGGTTAAGTTATACGCCATTTCATTGTACAACTGAGAAATGGGTCTTTCTGAGAAGCTGAACCATGTTCCGCATGTTTTCTGTACATATTCTTAACTGTTTTCTACGGTATAATGTGGTAACAAGTTAAACCTCTAGTTGTTTAAAGTAAGCTATAACAATGATTATTTAAATTTGTCAAAATTATCTGCAAAGTTCATTGCATTTTTGGAACAATTTTGTTGTTAAGTATGTTTTTCTTACTTTTGAAAATATCTTAATATAGGTAATTATGTGAAGATTGTCTTGGTGTAAGTCAGGTGTTCTGCAGTGACCGCGATGTAGCTACAGGGACGAATATCATAGTGGAAAATTACGAGTTTCTCCATCTAGATTAGCCACGCCAGAATGCAATGCAGCAGTTTTGACCCTCTTTCTCTGTTTTATGAGTTTTGCTCTCTACGCCCACCTGTAAAACCTACAGCTAAGACTGTAAACAGGGTTTAATAAAAATCTTATGTCACAAGTCCAAATCCCCCCAACAACATTTGTGAAAGAAGTTCTGATTATTCTATTTTTTCACATTCTTTATGTATATAACTGTACACTTATGTTTCCATCTAAGGTTAGGGTTGTATTAGAATCAGCTTTTCAAACTTGCCATGGTTACTTTCGTGTATTATGCAAAATGTTCAGGTCATCAAAATCCCACATTACCAGAAACAATACAAAAGACACGACCTTGGTGTCTTTACAGCCAAATACAATAACTGTTGGTGTTTAAATGTTATGCAGGTATAAATTTTAGTATGTCACTAACAGAGGTAGATGAGGTCTTGAATTAATTTAACACAGCAAAAAAAATATACAAATGTGGGTTATGTCGCATAGTTATACGGTTGCAGTGTTTTGTTAAAAGAAGTATCTAAAATAAGTACTGTTAAAGTACAGTAAAAACAGTAATGATCCCTTTTCTAAACATTTTAGTTACAGCATGTCTGCTCCCACTGTATCTTTGTACTTCCTTTTGAGATAATGTGGTTGGATAATGTGGTTGTCCTGAAATTCAAGCAGTGCTGTCACACTGGTTTTATTGCTGTAAACACTGTTTTCTGACTTAAGTGCTCATGTTAGCTTCTTTCTGCTGTACTTCTGCTTGTAGGTGTCTTACTACACCTCCAAATCCAAGCAGGAGGAGATTGACAGTCACACCACAGATGGCTTCCCTTTATTCCTCATCACTTATGCCTGTGCTATCACCTTCTCGGTGATATCCTGCCTTAGGTAAGAAATGATCAGTGGCCGTCACACACTGAGAGATTTCCTGAAGTCCAGGACACAGAGAGCTGCTGTTTATCAACATGAACATGAAGCTTGGCATGCTGTCTGTAGTTTTTATTACACTATTAAACTAAATTTAAGGTTTTGCTATTTGTTTTGTACACAACTTTATTCCCCCCCCAAATTTGTGTTTTTATTGCTGTAAATTTTGGGTTTTAAAGCAAGACTATGTAACTTCTGAAAAAATAAATAGCACATTCATCCTCTTCCAAATATTATAAAGTTGAATTCATAAGCAAACAAATGTACACTTTCTCAATTGAACACAGTTAAATAAATATTGCTTTACAACCTACTACAACCTTACAACTACAACCTTTACAACCTAGTTTTACTGTACAAAAACAATGAATGCATGATGCTTCTGTTGAAGTTTTGAATAATAGACCTTGGTTACAGTATATTGTTACCTAGAACAACCAAAGCCTATCTTGATGTCCTGTACAGATTGGATAATGTGAGGAACAAGGTGTGGTTGGCTGTCTTCGGCGTCTTGTCCTCTGGCCTGGCTGTTCTTTCCTCTTTTGGCTTGCTGCTTTACATCGGAGTGCCATTTGTTATTACAGTCGCAAACTCTCCTTTCCTAATACTCGGTGAGAAAAAGCACCTCTGTCCTTTTTTTGTTGCATACTGTAATTTTAGGTTGTAGTTTGGAGTGCAATTTCCGTCAAATAATATACGGCTTTTAAGTAAACCTGACCACAATGTAAAAAAAAAATAGCATTAAACTGTTTTATTTTAGGGTAGATTAAACCAAAGCAAATCATTACTTTTCACAAGAATTTCTTGTTTAATATTAAAAATCTCTTAAAAGTCTCTTAAATGTAATGCGTTTTACTAACATTATTTTTCTCCAGGAATTGGTCTCAACAACATGTTCATAATGGTGTCCGACTGGCAGCACACCAATGTGAACGACCCAGTGCCGAAGCGAATGGCTCACACTTACAAAGAAGCGATCATGCCCATCACCATCACCGCCCTGACCGACGTTGTCAAGTTCTTCGTAGGCGTCACGTCCAAATTCCCATCAGTGCAGTCGTTCTGCCTGTACACCAGCACCTCTGTCATATTTTGCTACATCTACACAGTCACCTTCTTTGGAGCCTTCCTGGCTCTAAACGGGAGGCGAGAAGCCAGCAACAGGCACTGGCTGACCTGTATGAAAATACCATCAGACAAATCTGATGATCATTCGGCGATATATAACATCTGCTGTGTGGGAGGCAAATATGATAACAACACCGGAGCGGAGAAAAAACAACCAGCAAGTAATTTCTTTAAGGATTACTACGGCCCGTTTTTGATCAAATGCTGGGTTAAGGGAGTTGTAATCTTCCTTTATGTGGTATATTTAGCTACAAGTATTTATGGATGTTTCCACATACAACAGGGGGTTGAGCTTTATGATCTGGCAGCTGATAACTCCCATGTTACGAAATTCATTTGGAAGGATAGGCAGTATTTTTCTGATTACGGTCCATCTGTGATGGTTATTGTAAGTGAGGAATTCCCATATTGGGATAAGGGCAAAAGGCACCGACTTCAGGGATGCATAGAGTCCTTTAAAAGACTCCAGTTTGTTGATGAGGATGTCTATACATCTTGGCTGGACTCATATTTGTCATATGGAGAAGAAACACATTTAAACCTAGATGATAAAGATATTTTTCTCAAAAATCTATCTCAATTTTTTTATTTATATCCTGTTTTCAAGCAAGATGTGAACCTCACTGGCGGTGCCATCTATGCATCCCGGTTCTTCATTCAGACGGTTGATATTGCCAATGCCAGCATGGAAATTCACATGCTTAAAGGTCTTAAAACCGCTGCAGACAGATGCAGTGCAGCATCTTTATTAGTCTACAATGAGAGGTTCATCTTCTACGACCAGTATGGTGTAGTAGTCAGTAGCACGATTAAAAACGTTGGCGTGATCACGGCTGTGATGTTGGTTGTCTCCCTCCTGCTGATTCCAGACCCCCTCTGCTCATTATGGCTGACTTGTTCGATTGGTTCAGTGACTGTGGGGGTAACTGGTTTCATGGCGCTGTGGGACGTCAGTCTCGATTCCATATCCATGATCGTTTTCACCATCTGCATCGGCTTCACTGTGGATTTCTCCGCTCACGTGTCTTACGCCTTCGCCTCCAGCCAGAAGACGAGTCCTGATGATAAAGCGGTGGCGGCTCTCTCTAATTTAGGCTACCCCATACTTCAAGGGGCCTTGTCCACCATTTTAGGAGTGTCAGTGCTGGCTACGTCTGAATTTTACACATTCAGAACATTTTTTAAGATCTTCTTTCTTGTTGTGTTCATTGGGATGCTTCACGGCCTCATTTTCGTTCCAGTAATTCTGACGTTGTGTACATGCCGCTCAGGTAATGATGAAAATAAAGACAACAGTCTGAAAATCACCAAACTATGACCGCTGTTACAATGGTGATAATAAAAAACGTATTCCAAAATATTGAGCTGTTTGTGTACTGCTGTTGCTGTGCTTAAAAGTAAAAGTTAACAATCAAAACCAATTGTTGTAATACTCTCATTCTAGCAATGAATGCATACACGGGGCATTCATATGCTGTGATGCAGTTACACAGGTAACATATTAAAAAGTATTAGTGGAGCACATTATTGTGCTGCTAAACTTTGTAACAACCCAGAATACCATCTGTGATGACTAGATAATAAAATATTATTTTTATAGTGGCATTTCTTTCTCTGGCAGCACCATGAGCAAATGATCATTAATCAGTTTGTAGATTACTTGCTTTTCTTTAACATATTCAGTATTTGGTCGTGTCATTTGAGATTTGCACTCTTCAGGGTAGAATGAAACATTTCACAATGTTGAGCCCCAGACTTCAGAGCAGCTTTTTTTCTAAGGGTTTGAGACTCCTCCTCCTAATCAAACCTCAGCACTGACATGTAAAATTGTTTTATTTCTGTGACTTGTTATTTATTCACCCATCTACTGTATATCATTTTTGTATATAACGTTTTGTTTAGTAACCTAAAGGGAACTACAACTTAATCTTGTTATATACAACCCTGTGTTTTAAAATGCTGAATAAATAAACCTTGTGCCTTTTAAAATGATGAACTGATTTGGGTATTATTAATAGAAGCTGGTTACAACCAAGAGGTCTGACTGATTGACTTCAGGTCATTGTGAATTACTGGTTGAATTTCAAAGCAATGTGATGGCTTTGGGTTGCCTCTAAGGAATTTAGGGTCAATGATAGGGTCAATTGCTGAGCTAAAGGAAGCCAAAGGTGACAGTTACTCTCAACAGTAGGTCAGACTCTGTCTTTTCTCTCTGCCTTCTTAGTCACCTGACTGACGCAGCTGCCTCAATAATGATGCACTTTTTATCCATTTGCTAGGTAACCGAAGAATGAGATTATCTTTATTTTGTTTCATCACAGACAGTCTGACTGGCTCTATGTAGAAAGTGTTGCATGTAGCTTGAATAAAACACAATGTGTCTTGATTGAAAAAATCAAGACACTTGATTGAAAAAATCAAGACACATTGTCACCAACAAACACTCTCTGAAACTTCTTCATCACACCTGAACCTGGCTTACTTTGTTTTCACAACAGGTTGTATATACAAAGATAATTTCAACATATACCATTCACAAACATGAATATATCATTTCAACATATTACAATGATGCAACTTAGTAATGTGTTTTTGCAATTGGTGACCTGAAATTCCTGTGGCGTTACAGATCACGTCTTCAATAATAACCCTATAAAACCTGTCATGTGGGGCAGAAAAAAAGCTAATATTTTCAAATGTCCCATCAATTCAAATTATATGTAATTAATTCCAGGAATTGGTGTTGATGACATATCATGGTCTCCTGCTGGCAGCACATTAACATTAAGAATCCTCTGCCCATGCAGATGGTTCACACCTCCAAAGAAGGTGCTAAGTCCACCTTCATCACCATCATCATCACCTTGTCTGAGGTTTTTTTTATTGCTTTAATTTCCTTCCAACATCAACCGACACGGACATTAACATATAAAAAAGTGTTTCTGTTCTGTCAGTGAAAAACAGCCAAAACAGCCATTTTAACACACAGGCCACACAGTTGTACAGGTTCAAGTTTTCCCAGGATTTCCTGTCTCGGATCAGTTTCTGTGCAGATATCAAGATTTTAAGATAGGACAAGCAAGCAGGTTTGGATACAGCTAAATGTAGCTCAGTCAAGAGATCCAGGAGGTCTTCAGGTTCCAACTTCCAGCATCCTCAGGAGCCTGTGCAGCGTGCAGGCCGACTCCCAGCTCTGTCACCCTTCGTCACGCCTGTCTTCCTTGCCCCTCTTCCACGACGAGATGCCTGTAGCCAACAAAGCGTGACGTGACATGCCCTTACACCGAGGAGAGAGAGAGAGAGCAACCCTAGAGCTTGAACTAATAAGAAGGAGAGAAAAGGATTTGTGGCGAAGTAAAGAAAAAGATCAGATTGCCCATTTGATGCTTAATAAAACCCAGATCCTTTGGTGTAGTTTGCAACAGCTTGCCTCAACTATAAATGAGTTTTTTGATTAGAAACATGTCGTGGTTGAAGGGAAGGCATGGCTGAATTGCCACATCACATGTATGTCCTGTAGAAATGGTTGCCCAGTACCTTTTTGGTGTGTCATAGTTTGGTTGGTGTAATAGGTGGAGAAGCCCAAATAGGACATCTATGAAGTTTGCTGCTGAACTGTTTTTTGTTGGTGAAACAGAAAATGAACTTGAGCTTGCATATAGATGTGGCCATAAGTATGTGTACTCCAAACATGATCCCCGCAGCCTCCCCTCTTACTGGTTTCAGGATTTCACAAGATTGTTGAACCTGGCTGCAGGGATTTGTTCCCATTCAGCCCCAAGACTATCAGTGAAGTCGACCACTCATGTTGGTCAATGAGGTCTGGAATACATTCCAGTTCATCACATCCGGTGCTGGACAAGGCTGAGGTTAGGGCTCTGTGGAAACCAGTCAAGCTCTTCCACACCAAAGGAAAGGGTTGCCCAAAGTGCCGTCTAGTGGAAACACACTATTAATAAAATATGCATGTTGTGGCATTATGATTTCTCTTAAAGGGCCTGAAAACACATGTTCTCACTTAGCTTGTTAGAGTGATGGGAGCCTACATGAACAGAATATTTTCTGCCGGAAGTTGGAACAGGTTTAGACATTTCTGCTTTCCCCCCTATGAAGTGGACTGGGCTCTGTTGGAAAAGGGTGATGACATGTACTTCCACGCACCAACTGGTGGGTTGTTTAATCACTGTCAGTCAAATGTGACCAAACCACACCCACAAAATATGTTAAGCACTTAATAAATAATCCCTTAATATATATATTTTTTTACTTTTATTGCTACTCATTATCATGAATATTATTAATACCATTAAATGTACGTCATAGAGAAATACTTTAATGGTTTTCAAGGGACTTAGGGCATAGCCCAAGCCATGAAAGTATATGGACAGGGGTGTCCCCAGATCTTTGGCCATACAGTGTATATGACATCTTTCATCCCATATCTTATAAGCAGAAAGTGTACAAAACACCTCCCTTTTCTAAAATGTTTGCTACTTTTATTTCTTGTTTTGTATTTACAATATTTGGTCAGTCCAAATGTACAGTTTATATTGGAGATGAAATTTACCCATAGGTTTGTGGATTCCCTGCACTATCCAACATTGGGATGTGGAGATAATATTTGAAAAAAAGAAAATCATTCATGATGAAACTAATTGGTCCTATTGGCTCCATAAGGACATAGAGAGAAAACAAAAATAAAATATAAATGAAACAAAATACAATTTCAAGTGATAGATATTTCACAGTCTATCTTCATGCACAAATAGATTTGGATATATTTCCCCCCTGCTCTCCTTAGCATCAGTGAAGTTATTTTTTCAATATTATGCTCAAATTTGAATTAAAGTGGATGTAATTAAGCTTTTTTTACACTGATAAAACAGGACTCGTGGATGCCAGATCAACTGATCTAAATTAAGTGCTTGGATAAATCAGCCGAGGCTGACCTTTTGTGTTTCAGAACTGGACAGCTCCTTACCCGCTACATCTGTTTCAGGCCCGGACAGCTCTCTCACAGCTCCACCAAACGCTTGCGCCGTGATTGACAGAATAAGCGGCCATACGCGGATCAATGGCGCTTATGGAGCCCTATGAGATGCTGAAGAAGACGGGCTTTAAGGGCGCACAGCTCCTGATGTGTCCCTTCGTGTCTTTTGTGGGCCTACTTAATGCTTGTTGTGGTCGGAAGAGGGCGGAGTGCGTCTGTCGTCCAAGTGAGAAGCTCCCTGGCTCGGTGCCTCCTAAAAAATATATAAATATAATAACAACCTGCCCCCTTACCCCTCCCTTCCTCCTCGTTTTGATTCTGTAGTCTGTGTAGCCTACACGCAGAGGGAGAACGTCAGTCGCACAGCAAAGCCAAAGACAGTCTTGTCTACAGTGAGAGAGATATATATATAGAGAGAGGGGTGGGGGGAAACAGCTGCAAGCGGATACTCAACATCAACAAGCTGTATGAGGCATCTGTAAAGAAGGAGAAGGGATTTGGCGAGGACAGCGAGGGGGTTCCTTAAATTTCCCCCCTCCTCTGCTTTTTGATTTCAAGAACAGAGGCGTGGAGCTTGCAAGAATATCCTACAAGTGGTGAAGGGATGGTTTAGCGAAGCAATTTGGTGGATTGTTTCACAGCGCGCCCGCCCAACGACACTGTAATTCCGAGCAGCAATCCACCTAAACATCTGTGAACGCTTTCAGGAGGGAGATGGCTGTTTTCCGGCTGTCGCTGCTGCTGCAAGTGGGATTTGTGATCGGATCAAACCATAAGTACGCGGAATGGTCAGCGCATGGGGACGATATCAGAGCACAGGAGGCGATATACGGCGCTCAGACGCACCGTCGGCAGCTGGCGCATCTCCGCGCGCCTCAACACCCTCCCGGGGAGACGGCGGATCTGCAGCAGAAAATAGGGGAGCACCTTCCCAGGGTGGTCGCGGCTTTTCTTCACACGGGGGATTCCACCACCTTAAAGCACTCTAACTGTTCGCGGAGGTACGAGCTCACCTCTCTGCGGAGAAGGTCACAAGGCATCCCACATTACTCCATGAGCAGCGTGCTGGATACGGTACTGCACGCCACAAACTTCCTCAACATGATCTTGCAAGCCAACAGGTCCAGGGAGCAGAGTCTCCGGCGAGACATTGAGTGGTACCATGCCTTAGTCAGGAGTATACTGGAGGGAGACTCCAAGATTCACCGGGCGGTTGTCACATTTAGCGCGGATTCGTTCGTGGAGGGGCCCTCGGTGCTTCTCCAAGCCACCCGAGCCGGCGGAGAGATAGTCCTTCAAGACCTCTCCAGCATGGCCCACCACCACCTGCACAACCGCACCGCCGACTCAGAGTGGTACCACGATGTCAAAAAATGGGAGAAGCCAACTTTCCATAAGAGGGTGCTGAGCCAAGATTTTAGATCACTTGACAATTCTTTAAAAAGAGGAGAGAGTTTTATCCCGGACAAGACGCACGTCAAGTGGTCTGCGCCCTACCTGGAGTGTGAAAATGGCAATTTTGTTCCACGGTGGCTTTTGACCTTATCGGCTGCTTTCTATGGCCTGAAGCCCAACCTGGTTCCCGAATTAAGGTAAGCATACACAGATGGTTGAAAACCGAGCAGGGATGTTGGTATAAATAGAAAGCTAAAGCTCAGCAAAACATAAAGCTCATAAAGCTGTTCACACACCTGTGAAGCCTTAAACAAAAGATTTATATGGAGAGGATGTATCCCAACCTAAAGGTAACTTCAGGTGGGTTTAAACATACATCTCCAATCCCCCTACATGAACCTAAATAAGGCCTGAGGTGATCATACCTGCCTCTCTTTCCTCCCCAAACATACCACAGCTTCCCACTGGTTATGCAAAGGGGGATGGTCTCTCCTCCAGTCTGACAAGGTGGCGGGATGGTAAAAATAACCCTGGATGTTAGTGGATGTGGCAGTGGTGGAAACCTCTGGCTACAGGCCCTAATTCATTTTTCAAACTCACTCTGCTGCATGCTTTACTCTCAGGAAATGTCTGTGCCCTTTCTTTTTCCTTCTTGGGGGGGGGGCTGCCACATCTGCATGAGTCAGAATGATGAGATGAGAGACGTGTGCCAATTAAAAAAAGAGGGGGGGGGGGTTAGCACAGCAGCCAGCATTAGCAGATGAAGAAATGCTGAAATATGTCTGATGTTTGGGTACTTTGTACAAACCATGTCCTAAAGCCACCTCTGCTGCAGCCTGCTTGTGTAATGTGCCATGTTTACGCCACCAGTCCTGATGTGCACTGGAATAGTCGAGTGTTAAGGCTCCATAGGATCCTGACCAGCATCTTCCCAATGAATATTTAATCAAGATCACTACTTGTGTGTGTACCGCCTTCGATGAATCTTTTATTGATACACTTGAGTCGCTCACAGGCAGGTGCAGATTGCAAATGAGGTAAAACCTGCAGTGATTATACTGTAATAGGCTATCAGCTACCTGGTGTTATCCCAGACTAAAGCCTCTCAAAGCTGCTTCACACACACTGAGTTTCTATCTCCTACTGAAGCAATCTGATAGGTAATTAGCCTGCACACTCAACTGATGAGTCAAACCTGTTTTTACAGCAGAACTCCAGTTTACAATTTATTTGTGAAGCAAATGTATGATTTACTTTCCTCCTATGGTCAAAGGAGCTGTTTTGAGGCCTCCTCCATAAAATCAAAGGTGTGACATTTGTGGGCATTTGGTATTGTTTAATGTCCCTGGAGAAGAGCCTGTTCAGTGGCACTAAAATAAGCAATCCTACTTTGTGCTTCAAGGAGCAAGAGAGCAGGAGAGTTGTATAACTATTAACTATTGTATAACTATTACTTCTAAGATATGGAAAAAGGAAGACTCTGACCTCTCAAGACCAATGCAAGTATTTAACGGTTCGACAAGAGTTGGATGAGAATTTAAACCCTTCTCGTGTGTATGATAGACTGTATAAAACATGAACTGTTGTGAAGCTCAGTGTGGAAGGCTCTGGGCATCGCCATCTTGGCCGTGTAATAATCCAAAAACAGGTGGAGGCCACCTAGCAGCTGGCCACCTGTCATGGCACCCACCTGTCACTCAAAGTAGCCCGCCCTAATGCATAATTTTTAGCCTTGGCACGTTGTATTCATTTTTCAGCCCCGGAGGTTGCTGCTTGGGGAAACATCTAGTCTGGCTTGTTTGTTTAACAAACAGGATACAACAAGTTTATTAATGAGCTTTACAGCTGCAGGTGGGTTTTGTTATCTTTTAGACAAAGCCAGACTAGCCATTTCCCCCTGTTACCATGTATTTATGCTAAGCTCTGCTAACTAAGTTGCTAGCTGTAGCTACAAACTTAGTGAACAGAAATTAAAGTTATATCAATCCTCTCATCTAACTTTTGGCAAGAAAGTGTATTTCCCAAAATGCTGAACTATTCCTTACAAAAACAAGTCGCTTGTCTGTAGCGTGGCGCTGCACCCCAGAAAGTCACTGCTCCTGGCAAAAAAATACACACAACTTCCCGTAAAACCACAAAAATTTTGTTTTTATATGCTACTTTGTTTTTTATACAGATTAAAACTGAGTTGAGCTAAGCAGTCTTTAAGCTAAGCTAAGATAACTGTCTGATGGCTTTTTTATGTACACATACAATGAATTTGAGTACGTTTTTATATTGCTCTCAACGTACATACACAGAATAAGCATAAACAAATAGGACAACAAACTCAACAAAACATAGACATAGACTAGCCTACTATGTACAGACGTACATATATATAAACATAAGCAAAACAACAACATTTGTAGACAGGAAGACCACAGTGCAAAGGATGCTGGAATAAATAGATTTGTGCAGGTATTTTTATGTACATTTAGGTAGGTGGCTATGATATATAAAGCATTGATGTGTTTTGAATGATATTTATGTTTTAAGAAAGAAACAGAATTTCAACAATGAAAAATAAATAGTAAATAGTTTACAGGTAAAGTAGATGTTACAGTGACAGGATTATTGCATAGGGATTGTTCCTGACACTGTGAGCTGTGTCCGAAATCACCCACTACTCACTATATAGAGAGCTCGCCATTTTGTAGTGCTGTCCGAATGTATAGTGAGAATTATTATACTATATATATTATATATATATTATTATATAGTCCACTCAATGGATCCTAGAATGCATTTTGAAAAGTAGTGCAGCCAACATCACTACATTGTCCTCTACATACAACTCTCCCTCATAGGGAGTAGGGTGTATTGAATGAGTGGTGATTTCGGACACAGCCTGTGTCTGGAGTTAACTGTTTGTCAGATTGACGGCCTGTCTGTAAAAAACTGTTCCTGTGGTTGTTTAGGCATACAGCATAGCGCCTACCAGAGCGGAGAAGTTGGAACAGGTTGTGTCCAGGGTGTGATGGATCTGCAGTGAGGTTACCTGCCCATTTCCTGACTGTGTACATGTCCTACCATGAGAATAGTGTTGATTTCTAAGCTAACTCTCGGCATAACAGCAAATAAGCAGATTTCCCAAAATGTTGAACTATTCCTTTACTGACCGAAATACTGCCTTCACATCTGACAATAACATTTTTGTCACATTAATACTCAACAAAGAACAAGCTGTTCTTTTTATGGTCATTCACCTTAGTAGATTGCCATACGGTTGTGTTGCCATATCACTCACAAAAAACATTCGTCAACTATGCTCAGTCAATCAGTCAGTCACTCTTCTTCATAATGTTATCTCAACAGATACCAGAGATAATAGAGGCATATTTCAGGTCACAAGAAACATACGTCGCACCTTGTTGTTTGTCCTTTTTGCCATGCATCATCCCTCTCTCAGTTTGCAACAGCCATCTTTCAGATGCTCGTATCAAAGTAGCAGGCGGCTCATCCTGCATCCTCCCTTTGTCTCAGCACTCACGCCAGATAAGGAACAGGAGAGGAGGGGATAATATAGCTGCCTCAGACATCAGCTCTCCTCCGTTTCCCCTCCAGATGAATACACAATCAATACAACAATGAATTAATGATGAAAGATGTAGAACAACAACCCTGCTTGGGCCATCTTCATTCCACCCTTATAATGCTTCAGTCACTTCCTGTTTGGTGTGATGATGCTGCAAGGTGAATTGTTTGAGGTTTGTGGATCTAGCATATGAGGAGAAAAAGTCGAGGCTGTTTTTCTCCTGTTTGTTAAACATGCAGGTGGTAAACAACTAATGTGACTTGTTAGAGCGGGAGTGCATGGACATGTGTTTGTGATAGATTGACCTGTTGTTTCTGTGAAGGTGTAAGAAATCACACCTCTCACACTTCATCTCTTCTCTTCCCGTCTGTCTCTTCAGCTGCACTCGAGTCACAGGGGAGGCAGCTTAGACCACACAAAGAGGACTGACTGTGAGTGTGTGTGTGTGTGTGTGTGTGTGTGTGCATGCCATTGTTAGAGGCTGAGACATTCTTCAGGATGATACGTACCATCCTAATTGGCAGATCACTCTCACTTCAGACACACACTCGTTCCTATGTAGCCGCACAAATGCAAAAACTAGTCTGAACAAGCACACAAAGTGGAAGCACGCAGAAGTGGAAGAAAGGGGATGCAGGAGGTGGTGTATGTGTTAGGTGAACACGCACTGTACTTCAAACTCACCTTTCACAACACAGACCTTAATTGCTTTGAGGCTGAAGCTCAGGCAGCAGCAGCGCTATGATAAGGCAAACTAATTGAAACTATCTAAAAAGTAAAACCAAAACGGTAAAGAAATATATTTTTTTCAGCATATTCCTCCGCAGGCCAAACAGCTTCTAATTAGATTCCGGAGTCGTCTTCATTTACGCTTGGCTTAGCGCCCCATTTTGCTGTACAAGCAGTTAAAGTCTGGATAGCCTGCTGTGGGACGCCCAGCCGTCTATCGGAGTGAGAGGCCTCAAGGTCCAGGAGGAGCCAGCAGCAGCATCTGCTTCCATGGACACCATCCAGAAACAAATAGGTAGGAAACCCCACAATTCCCGCGGCTAGGAGCGATAATATATGATGGTAAACTGAGATGAAAGAGCAGGAGTAAAAAAAAGAAAAATTGCATTCACAAGGAAAATTAGTGGGGTAAGTTTTCCTACGCTATAAAGATGTATAAAGAATGTTGGAGATATAAGTGCACCTGAAAATGAGCCTAACCTTGTAGAGTCTAACCTGAACCAAGCAGGAGTTAAAGATCCCCAAGGTGCTTCATCTCCCACTGCTGATGTCACTGGGACTCCTGCTCAGTAAGGCGGCCTGTGAATACGATGCCTTCAGCCAGTAAATGTCAACGTTACAGAAAATCCAACTACAAGCCTTTCTGGCTTGCTGTAAAGAGATTTTATATTCCTAATAATCCTGCTAATGATGGGAATAATCTCACTGATTTTGATACTATTATGGTGATGTAATCCAGTTGCCTTTCAAAATATTATAAATCTGTATTATTACTTTATGTTTATTCTTTAGTAATCTGGCGTGAGAGAAATAGTGCTGGGGTCAGGGGTGGACAGTATTTAGGAAAGATGAAATACTTGAAAATTTTTGTCATAGGGTTGATGAAAGTGG